ATGCTTTATAACTATATCTTAGTAAAATAATGTGTATCGGGCTTACTTTCCATCTAAACTAAAAAAAAAAAAAAAAACAACATTTTTTAAACTGTCAGTTTCAATGAAATATGAAGGAAATGAGAAATAAATATTGGATTTTGTTTCAATATCTGACAAAAGAAATATATCCAGATTGCCTACAGTCTCTCAGAAAACTGTAATGTACATATTCCTGACCTCTTCTTTAAATTGATATTAAATTGAGGTATCGGGAAAACTGTTGACATGATTTGAAAATGATTTCTATAAAAATGGTTTATTTTCTCCATGATTTTATTAAAGCGGTAAAGTGCGGGAAAAGGTAAGATTAAATTTATCAAAATGGATCTCACACAAAATAAACAGTCTAAACTTATTTACTAGATCTTGATCTTCAGCTTGATGATATATATTCGGAACTCCTTTCCCCACCAAATAAAAACAAATCCTTTTGCGTTTCTATTTCAGAAATGTTACACTAAATTTTCTTATACTGCAGAGTGTTATTATGACAGCTTCCTATTGCTATTTTCTTAGACTATGAGAAGTCTATATGCCAAAGGTTGCTAAGGATTTCATAATTATACAAATGTTACTTTTTGCACATCTTACCTGCAGTGCACAACAAGGAGCCTGTCGGGAAACAATTGCATTAAGCGCATGACGTGACGATAAAAGACGAGGAGCTCTATCGGCGAAGGAGTCCCATGGTCTGGCCAAGCCGTGAACTGAACCTGATTCACTGTCTTCACGGCCTTTGTCTGTCATAAATGATTATTATAATATGATTATTAGGAAAATAGTCTGCAAATAGCAACCTTTGACTGATAATTAGAAATCCTTACTTTTAAATTTGGTAAATTGTACAAATTTTAAAAAATCGTAGGAGTATATGACATTCCGATTTAAAATTGTTGATACTAAAAACAAAGGTCAGATTTTTCTGTTTCGCGGCAACGCAAAATTCTTTATTTCTATAAAGACTAAAAGCACAAACAGTAAATTTATGATAAAGCCAATATGCCTGTTTTAAGAATATACCTTTTTATTTGTTATGTTTATGTCACGTTGTGTGTAGTTTGCATAGTCCTTCTGTGACATCAGCTGTAGACAGAACTGTCCTGGCGTCATTTGATCACCTTGTGCGGGCCAATACTGCTCACATTTTATCTATTTCAGTCAGTAAATACGGGAATAAATTAATCATATTTTTGCGTCGCACTGACGATAGAACTAGATGTGAACATGTAATATATTTTGGTTATCAATCATTTTGACAAAAATGAGTTTTTGAAAACTAACATCATATAATTTTTTTTTTCAGGCAAAAGGGATAATTTATACTGAAATGTAATAAAAAAGTTTAAAAAAAAAAAAAATACTGTATTTTATCTGTTAAAGACATTTTAGTCTCAGTCTTCGATAGTGCTGTCTATTTCATTTGAGAGTCATATTTGATTAAATATGGCGTTATCGAACAGTATTCAACCTCAAAAGTCCATTGAAACAATAAAAATTTAAAGCAGAGCAAACACGTTCTCTAAAACACCAGAGGTGGGATCATGTGCCATGGAGCAGCATGCACCCCCAGTTGACCGGTCACACCCACCGTGTGCTCATTGTCATGATCGGGGAAACGAAAAAGTCCGTAGACAATTCAGTATTTAAATAATGGCTTTACAATAAGTATGAAAAACATCAGTAAACATTCGATTTCATGATAGATTACTAACAAGGTCATTGTATCGACCATAGAACTTGTCAAATGTTGACTATAAACGAGAGTTTTGATATCCTTGTTTCATCAACTTGTTTGTCAATAGCTTGCCTCGTTTTAGCAATTATTTATACGTGGAGCATGTTCTTGCCTATCGAATCAATTGTGAGATATAAAACCCATATGCAGATGATGAGGGTATATTAGGAAACTAATAAAGGAAGTTGACGATTGAAAAGTTGAAGTCATTTAGAATGTGTTGATGACTCTGCATCTCTTTAATTTTGAAAAACAAAAGTTTTGAAACTTACGAAATGTACTAATTACATTTCATCTTTATAAAATATGTAAAACACACAATGAAAGAACTGGAATCTTAAGCTTATTTAACTGTCGTTAATAGAAAGGCATAATTTGTGTTTCTGGATCAAAATGGTTAAATAATATATATGATATAACTTTATATATACGTTGTTGTGTCAACCCAAAACAAAATATTACATATAACATGTGTTTATTTATCACATGTTGGTTCTTAATAAGATTAAATTTTTAGTAATATAACCTTTTTTATTACGTACCTAAATTTTATGCTTTTTGCTCTTTTATCAATTAGAGAGAAAAAAAATATGTAAAACTTAATTTTTAAAAAGCTTTCATACACCATATTTTCTACAACGCTAAAGACGCTTGTAATACACGCAAAGTAAGAAATCACATTGATTTAGCATAAAATACCGTTGATCCCTCCGTCAACTTAGTGACCATGACGATGACCCGTATATTTTCTTGCCAAATCATTGCCCAAAAGTCTTGTACCGTGTTCTTCCTTGGTCCTAAATTAAACCAGAAGTCTCTGATGAGAGTGTAGCTTAACTGGTTTGTACTTATAACAAAGGGAAAAAAAAGTAGTACTTGGACTTGAAACGTTGCAATAAATAAAGTTATGAACCTTGGTTTAGTCATTTTTGTAGCAAATTTTATTGCAATTAGACTAAAGCTGTAGGAAGAGTAACCTTTTAAAAGACTTTTTTTTTTCAGAAATTTTGATTTTAGAAATCATGGCAACATCATTCATCAAAATAATAAAAACTGATAAGGACAATTATGTATCTCAGTTTAGACTATTTGCATGCCAAGTTGCATGGAAATTAAAGCAAAACTATAGAAGGAGTAGCATTTTGAGTGTATTTTTAGTAACCTTGGCAACACTTTTCACCAAAATCAAAAAGCAATGTACTGAACAATTTATCTTAGTGTAGTGTACTTGTGTGCCAAGTTATATTGAACTCAAACCAAAACTGGAGGAGTAGCATTTTAATGGAATTTCACAGAAATGTCTAAGTAACCATGGCAACATTGTTCATTAAAATTAAAAACTGATGCACTAAGTTATGTATCTTACAGAAGGCTACTTGTGTGCCAAGTTAAATTGAAATCAAATCAAAACTGTATGTCTAGTATTTTAAAGGAATTTCACAGAAATTTCTATTTTTTTAGTAACCATGGCAACACCGTTCAACAAAATCAAAAACCGATACACTTAGTTATGTATCTTTAGTGTAGTCTACTTGTGTGCCAAGTTAAATTGAAATCAAACCAAAAATGTAGGAGAAGTAGCGTTTTAAAGAAATTTCACAGAAAATTCCATTTTTAGTAACCAAGGCAACATTGTTCAACAAAATAAAAAAAACTGATGCAATCAATTATGTATCTTCGTGTAGTCCACTTGTGTGCCAAGTTTTAATATTGAAATCAAACAAAAACTGTAGAAAGAGTAGCGTTTTAAAGAAATGAAATGAGACCAAAACTGTAGGAGGAGTAGCATTTTGAAAAAAAAATGTTTAAAGACAGACAGACAGACGACGGACATGTTACTATCGCATAAGCTATTCTGGTCTCTAACCAGTAGAGCTAAAAACGACAAAACGCAAAGATATATGTATCTAATCAATGCAATTTTCGTCACAAATTCTTTTATTAAAACGATTAGGAATGTTTTTCGCTTATTATCTGAAAAAAAAAGTTCGAGTATATTGTTTTCAACGACCGTCTCTCAATCTGTCTTTTTGCCATTTGCCATAAAAGATGTTGTGCCTCCTCTTAAATTGTTAAACGTTGCCGAAGTTTCGTTCTGTAAATTGAAACTATCTATGGTTTGGGGGCCGACAAAGTAGTTGTTTAAAATTAAGCAAGTCATAGAAGTGTCTACAGTATTTTAGCATTTTAAGTGACACAAAACATCTTTCTATTTGCCATTATTTCTTGTATATCTGCGCTACGTTTCGGAATTTTTACATCTCCCTCATGTTTCACCGGAGGATCAAAATGGTATGGATTGTAATCCAAGTCTTTTGTAATATTTCTTTATATAAATGGGGTGCGCTATTATTTTATTAGAAATTTGGTTCGTTTTTTGAACGGTTGTTTTGTTTGCATACATGTCAATAAGTGCAAGAGAGATAGATTTATCTAGATGGGTGATCACGATTAAACGTATTAGACTGTAGGATTTTCAAAAGGAAACATACCTCGTAAGTTGATTATACTAATTTGTTATAATTATAATGAATGCTTGCAATAGTCGTGAAATCAGATTCTGCAGGATACTTTTATATTTCCAGATGAAGGAGATATTTTTGAGCAGGTCCCAATTCCAGTATGTAGAAGTACTATTTTAACAAATCTTGAATCTGTTAGCTTTAATGCGTAAGTTGATACATGTGACATAAATATATCTTATGGATGACTGATAAGATTAATGGTCTTCGAGCAAATGCATGCACAAAGTAATATTTTCAAATTAAAGCTGAACACGACTCGTAAATAGGCATACGCCATATTCGATTATACTATCCTTGATACCAGCACTCGGGTATACTCTTCGCATTCATTACACCTGATTTCTTTATTGGCACAGGTACCGGCGTGGAGTGGCGACACGTGTTTGTGTTGGTTATCTTACACTGCCTTGTCTATAATTTATTGCAGTTGGGTGTATTTCTGTTTGTTAATACACAGCACTAACCTGTGTAACTGTTGTAAGTTTCTTCGGTATCTTACTTGGTTGCATTTGAAGAAGTACACAGTTATTTTTGTCGCTAACGAGTGCTGTGTATCATGCGTCTGTCTACACTGGTGACGACTGATTACACTGAACAGTGACTAAGTGAGCGGATTTATACAGGGGCCCTCGGATATAACGAGTGAATAATCGACTTTTATAAAGCGTGTTCAGCTTTAAGATAGAAAGAAAGAATACCTTGGGTGGCAATATAACGTTGTTTCCCTTCTACATCCTATAAAAATATTTGTATTTAATAATTAATACACATATAATTGTTAGAGCAGTATTACTTTTTGGTGTAAATTATGTAAAATCAAAAGCTAACACGCATAGAATAAGTAGTATTTCACACTGTATTTATGTTTGCATATAAAAAGACGATTTTTGAGAAGTGGAGGTGACGAAAAATTTTGCTTTATCTTTTTATTTTTCAATATAAAAGCAGTTTGTCATATGTGCTAAGTTTGCAATTCATTTCAAACCATGAGGAATGAAAGAGAAAAAAAAAACACTTCCTGCTGTGACATTTAGCATAAAATCATTATAAGTGTGTTCGCTATACTTGTGCTTTACTGTACTAGTACCTTGATGTAATTAGCATTGATGTAATCATTTTCGGGACAAACATTCAGAACCACGCGGGAATGGTCATCTTAAAAAAAAAGTAACATACATTTGTTTAATTTTGTAATACCATTATCCACACCTTTGTTGCAAAGAGGTTTAATTAAATACTAAATGTTAGGTGAAAAAAAAAACACTTATACTTAGATTCAAATTATAATCTGTTGCATACTTATTATTTCAAAGAAATGCCATTTTTCTCTTCCATAATCTCTATATGATATTACTTCAGTAATAATTATTTCATTGTTCGAAAAAGTAACTTTAGAATAAAAATAATTGTACCATTTTATGAAATGTTGCTGCCATTACTAATATAAAATCGATGTGGCAAAGACAGTATATCATATATTTAGGTAATTAGAAAAGTACAAAAAAAATATAGCTAAATTGAACGGAAAGTAGATTGCCGAGAGACAAAATGTCAGGAACATAAATAAGGAAAAATGGTTATTTCAATAGATAATTGAAAAAAAAAACAACAACAGTCCATCCCTTGAGTTCATAAAATATAAATGAAAAATATTAAAGACAATTATCAGTTGGAAAGATACAAAGTACGTGTTCATGTATGTTTCCTATCCTTAAATACATACATTGCATAATATTGAAGATTTAGAAACATGAACCTATAGCTAAGTCAAGCAACAACCAAAATTTATGGAACCTTTACATACATGGGAATGTTGTTTTGTATCTGTTTCTCGGCATGTTTTGTTGTAGTTTAGCCACTGCGCACGGAATGTGTTGCTGTTCTCCATACGGTATTCCCTACAAATATTTCAAAGATACAGTCAGAAATCTCATATAACCATGAAGAAAACTTAGGAATATCCTAGACTTCGAGATTAAACGAGGTTAAAATTTTAACAAATTGAAAGATTGGACTTTTTGCTATATATTGGTTGTATACGATGTATTAGTATATAAACATATAAATATAGAAGTAATGCATTATAATTGACATTTAAAGTTTTGAGGTACACACTTTAAAATAGAAAGGGTCGTGTGGAATTCTACATGCTACAGACAAATTCAAAACTAAATAAAATAGATATGAAAAATGAAACTCTCATAATAAAAAAAAAATAGGATTAAAAATCTACAAATCCCTTATTAATTAAAACATGTAAAATGTCAAATTATATGGTATCTTGAATACAAAGATATACATCCGAAGACTAAATCGAAGAAATTAATTTTAATGTCCAATTCCTAGAGTTTAAGTTGTCATATTCATAAAAAATCCGGGTTTTTTTCAATAAGCAAAACCTTTAATTTTATTCAGATTTACCTTAAATTCCTCGGTGAATTTCTTATTTTCCTCCAGCGAAAATGCTTTGATTATTTTTCCAAGATCAGATATTTTGATGAGTGTTTTCTTTTGACTGTTGTCTGTGGCAATGTACTCAATGTCAGCATTTTCCTCTCTATGTAAGCCGTTCTCAGTTTTGTTGCCTTTGTCTTCAGGATTATTTTCTTGCGAATCTAAGACATTTTTATTTATTTCATTCAATTCATTACTTCAGAGTTTACTACATGTTAATATTTGATCTTTGTGACATATCTTCAATGTGAAGAGATTCTTACGTTCCTTACAAATTCAAATACCGTGTTGTTTTATTTCAAAGAACCTTATGTATCTTTAAATTATACTGGATATATTTATGAAAATAATATATACAAACAGAAATACATATATCTTCGTAAATGAATGGCTATTTTTGTAACTGAAAACTATTGAAAATATCACTCCGATTTTAACTTAACATAATTATGCATATCTTGATTATATTTCTAAAAAGTATTATGTATAACTCACCATTGTTGGACAAATCTTTCCTCTCTGGTAACTCTATGGCATCTGCTTTTTTCTTTCTTGATTTTCTATAATATATTGATAGATTCTGTCAATGAAAACCAATAACTGCGAAGAAAATGGAAAAATGAATAAGTTACTGAATAAAGTATCCACAAAGCCGGCATTTTACTAACCTGGCGAGGACAACCACTAAAACTATGATTGCTATGATGAGTATTAACAAGAAAACACCGGCTCCTGCAGCAGCTGGTGTGAGGTCCTGTACCTGGGCTTCTGCAACTACATCATGCCTTTTATATTAATGTTGTAACGTGTCGAGCGGAATGTTAGCTTCTATCGGGGGTCGTACCTTGTCGATTCAAGGTTTTGGAGGGGTGATATTTCAATATAACAATTTTCCTTAATAAATGTTTCGTAAATGATTAAAACAAAGGCCTGCAAATATATACAAATAATATGGTTCAGGTTAATAATCACGACAACAATATGGAATAGGGAATCAAATAGATTCAATGATAGAGTAAACTATCATGGGTAGACTATCAGCCTTACACTGGTCAACCTCGGACTGACGCTTGTACTGCAGCCTTATTCGGGACACAGTCAGTACAAGTGACAGCCCTTCAACTGCTGTGCACACTGCTAGCCTTATTCAGGAAGACACACTGCACACAACAGCCTGGTCACCAGACAGGTCAACAAGACGAATTACAGGTGGTTAACCTCCGTTGCTGGTTAGCCTCTGAGTGACTTGCCACTCTAAAAACACAACAGCCTTTGTATTATTTTCCTTGTAGACCTTACTTATTTCATAAGGTCAACCTCTCCTGTAAGCTGACTTTATCGTCTCACTTGCAAGTACCGATATATGTTCACACACGTCTTGCATTTAGCACAGCTTGCACTGAAAAGGACTGTCTAAAACCGGGATTCAGCCTTCATATTCCTTTTTAACACGGAAGTTTACGTCTACAACATTATAGCAAACCTCGAATGGTCCACACTATAAATTTCCGGAATATTACAATGTCAACAATAAAATTCTCTTTATAAGATCAAACTCGCATATCACCATCCGCCACTTTGTTTTTACAACAAACGTTCATTTCAAAGTGTCAGTTATCTCGATATACCGCCATAGGTGCATGTGATCAGTGAATTCGAAGCGGCTAATTGGTTGTCGATATTAACAGCACCGTTTAAAACCAGACATATATCACACCCCCGATTTAGATGCGTGCGCTTGTCGTTTGTTTGTTTGTTTGTATGTTGTTTAACGTCCCTCTCGAGAATTCTTCACTCATATGGAGACGCCACCACTTGCCGGTGGAGAGCTGCAAATTTTATCCTATACTCGGCACTTACGGCCATTGAGCAGTGAGGGATCTTTTTCGTGCGTGCACCTACTGCGACGCGGGACCTCGGTTTATATGGTCTCATCCGAAGGACCGGTCTCCACGTCCCACAGTGGGATTCGAACCCGCGACGTAAGGAACAACTCCTTACTCCGCGACTCTAGAGCACACGCTCTAACCACTGCGCCACGCGGGCGATCGTGTGCTTGTCGAAAAGCCACTGGGTGAACTATTGGTAAGAAGATAAAAAGCGCCTTACGATTTGCAGACCTTCATTTCTCGTTGGGTCGGACAGTATCAAGGACAGCGTCCCAGTTTCAACCCTCCGAATGTTAACAGAATTTTGTATTTATAGACACATGATTGATAATTGACAAACATGAGTAACATGACATGAGTTATTTGATTTTCAAGTAGAGTTAAAGATTATATATTTAAATAAACAATAATTAAGTTACTCAAAGCACAGTCCACCTGGTCATATCACTCATAGCTAATTGTCATGATTAAATATTTTATAATAGATAAATCTGACAGATTGGAGAAATTATGACAACTGATAAATTAATAACAGATATGTAGAATTTGATAGAGAAAATATTCAAAGTAATTGTCAAAATGTCCAATTCTTTGACATCTGTGACAATGGACAAACCTGATTGCAAGGATCGTTTAATTGACAAAAGATTGTCTCAATTTACGGATCGGGCACATTTGAAATAAAAACATACCCAAACCGTGTGAGATACATGGCACATATAGAGAATTTAATAAACAATAATAAAATCAACTGTTATTATAATGTTGTTTTCTGAAGTTATTTAGTCAAGTTTGCTTTGATATAGAGATAAAGTATCAATTGCAAAAGTTTGAACAACAACGATGTCATTAACAAATCTACTGAAAAAGATTTATTTTACATACTATCGGCAATAGATCACGACGATCGACACATCATGTTTTTAATACATGTATCAGACGTTGAGATTTACATCCATGTATCTTTGCACATGTACATGTCTTGATGAATGTTCAAATTTTGAAATATGTTTTTATAAATTACTAAGAATATAAACATTGATTGTTTTATTTTCAGGAATGAAAACTCTATTTCTTGTTTTCCAAAGGTAGGGAATTCAATTCATTGCCAAATTCGCCATACTCCTAAACTTTCTGAATTATGAAGGGAGGCGGTTCATCGAGAATGAACTGTATATAATACAAAAAAGCATTTTTTATTTCATTTGATGCAATCAATATTAATACCCACTGTGGGTCGTAGGGACCAGTCCATCTGATGAGACACTATGAATCGAAGTCAATGCCTGTCAGTAAAAGAAACCTCACACTTCAATGGTCATAAGGGCCAAGTCTAGGTTTTATAAGCAAACTTCCAACAATTGTTGGTGGCATCCCGATATGAATGAAAAAAAAAATCTTGAATGGACGTTTAGCAAATAAATACACTAATAAAATTTGACTTTCACCTTAAAAAAATATTAATTGCTCAAGCCAAAGCCTTTTTAATTTATTAAGTGAATTGTATAATACGATTTTATATATAATTTTAGCTAGCTAACACTTTATTTTGTTCCTGACTACATAAGCGCAACTGTATATGTGTGAGTACAAAATAACAATAAATGTGTGAAAAAGTCAACTAGAATATTGTTAAACAATATATAAAATACAGCTGCAGGATATTATCAGTCAAATATGGGCCCTGAAGGAGTAGCAAAGATTTCCAAAGAAGAAAAAAAGAAGAAGATATAAATGATTGAACGAATTCGATCTTATATGATAATGAGAACAATGCTTAATTATTGTATAATCTTTGATAATTGCATATACAAGAGATACGCTGAATATTCACGAATATATATAGTATTTATGTATATGTTATGATATGTACATTTGCAACTATTTTTCTTAGATGAACCTATTCAAGAGCAAATATGTTTAATTCTGTTTGAACTTTTTAGTGGTCAGAGGTCATAGCGTGATTGGATCACACGGCGCGCTGGTACCTTGCCTTCTGAATTCTAACTTGATAGCAATAACCTAGAAAATAAGTAAAACATTTTGATTTTTTTCAATCAACAGATGTCCATTAAATATTCTTTTGGCCTAGCATTGAATAAAAACATTCAGATGTCACTGAAGTCCTGTTACCGTTTTTAACCCGAATCTCCTTTAAAAGTAAACTACATCTAAAACAGACGTGTCTCGCTGAAATACCACCGCTTTAGCTTAACATATGAAGGAATTATAAGAAAGTAAGAGAATCTTCAATACCAGTGACTATAAATGAAGGCCCGTAGCAAATTCAGATGTGATGGGGGTGGCAACTTCCCGGAAAAAAATCTGACAAGCATAAAGGTGTCCCCACTCCCCGCGTTCTACGGGCCTGAAGTGTATTTAAATTTCCAGAATTTGATTGCGAACATCAGTATAAAAAATCAAATGTTAGAACTCGGCAAACTTTAATGACCCAATAACTTCTAGGTCAATAAGTACATGTACGTCACAACATTAGTGATGCGGTGGGTCGTACCTGTAATATTTCTTTTCGAATATTCGTCTCAAATGTAAATATAAGAACATCTAGATACTCGTTGCGAGCAATGACAGGTCTTCCGTCCGAATAACCATCCTTAAATGTGATATTCTTTGCACGTAAAATTACATTTATATCTGCTCGTAGTAAAGACACCTAAAAATTTAATATGGGTCTTTAAAATGATATTTTATTTATAAAAAAAAAAATGAAAAGAGCACATAATTCATAAAGAGAAAAGAATGCCCAACATCATTGATAAAGATAAAAACGTATTTAAGAAAAAAAATTCCTTGACAAAATGGTTTATTTAATGTATAAGAGTTATGTAATTGATCCAAAAAGGAATTTTTTGATGAGCGAGAATAAAAAGATATTTATCTGTGTACTATGTCATCATTTTATGAGAGGGGTAATATGAATTCCGAAAACCACAGTGTGGTGATCTGGAACGTCGGATCACTCCGTCACGTGATTGCATAAATTCAAAAGTAAAACTGAGTGACAAACAGTTGGGTATATAATAATATATAGTCAAGTAACTGAACGAGTATCTTTTTAGTATGTCTAGGAAAAAAGAGTTTATATTGGTAAACATATAAAAACATACATAAATACATTCATATATATATGTTAGCAAATGAAATTGAATTTCGCATGAAATAGACTGAAAATTTTGAATTTTGGCATTTGATATTAAACATATAGTTGAGTTCATGTCTGTAAACTAAAATTAGGAGATACAAGAAGAAAATGAATTTATCCTGTACCTTAATGAGATCATTCATTGTTCGTTTTCATCGTCATTGTAAACATAAAGAATACTAATTTGTTCAACTCTAAGTATATTGTGATACTTCCCAATTTATTTCTTTTCTAATTCTGTGTACTGATATTCCTAACCTTTTGACTGATCTATGCTGACTGTTTGTTAAAGTACACTTACAGTGCTGCTATCCTATAAGTTGACAATCCTATCCTATCCTATCGTGAATCCTGCATCCACAATCCTATCCTGTGATTTCAGTCTAATCCTATCCTATCCTATCCTGCTAATTTCAGTTTTTTAATATTTAGGAGTTAATTTGACAAAACGAAAAAAAAAAAAATAATAAAATGACCATCATATAAAAATCAGTTATAATTATGGATTTAATTTAATATGTTTAAATGATAAAAAATAATCGAGATCGACATCGATTAATTCCCGACACCCCTCACGAATTAATTTTCGAGTAACCAGTTAAAATGTTAACGAAGGGACTGTAATAAAACATAGGCAAGTACTGATCTAGCGAACGTGTAAAGAAAGTAAGCTTTCAAAATAATTATAGAAAAAAAATTATAATCCGACTTTATTTTGATTT